TATTAAAGAAAACGCAAGACTTTAAGGTAGATAAGACAAAGACACAGCAGAGCAAGGAGCATGTTAGGGGACACCGGGCAACAGGGAAGATGTGAGATTGGCAATGGGTGGACAGAAAAATGACAGAAAAATCAGCTGCTCTCAGAAAGAGATTAAAAAGAAAAAAAGAAAAAGACAATCTAAGCTTCATCTGCCACAATTACCAGAGACTCAGATATGTCTAAAATGGAGATCAAGTCAATGTTACTCTGTTGGGACCCTCTTACCAATAATGGACAGGATACTTTATTAGCACAACATTAATCACTTTTTCATCCACTCACACAGGCAGGACAGCAGTGCACGGGTGCATTAGGAGCATCCCATGTGCCCCAAGTATCCCAAGTAGCATACCCACGGGTTGGGGCTGTCCTTCCTTACACAAGTGTGGTTATGCTTGTCTGTGATGTGGGGAACAGCAACAACAAAACAAACAAAAACAAACAAACAAACAGCAGCAACAGTAGTGGAAATTGTTAACAGGAGTTGGACTCAATGATCCTCATGGGTCCCTTCCAGCTCAGCATATTCTATGATTCCGTACCAAGTGTTCATCAGCCAGGTGGATAAACGAGTGCTGATTCAAGGGAGAAAGTAGATTTGCTATAGAAACAGGTACAGAAATGAGTAACCTACTGAGTTTTGTAATAATCAACCTGATATCCTGACATTTACAAACTCATCTCTGAACGATGCTGTAATTGTGGAAATGCACAAACCCACAGCTGTTTTTTTCCTCTTATTTTTTCCCCTCCATTTCTCTAGAAAATCTACCTCTAAAACTGTAAGGACTTCACTGGGATCCAGTTGGAATTGGCATCCAGTTTCCCTTGAATTACTTGCAAGGATGTGTTCACTGGAACCTCTCTGCAGAAGACTTTGTGAATAACTTTCTATATTCAAAATGGTCATCCTATACATAATTGGGACTTAATTTGTAAACATTTCTGATGAGATCTGGTCTGATTTTGTTAAATGGGAGTGTTTGTATGAATAAAGATTATCCATGTAAACAAATGGCTGAGGCGAACACAGGTGCTCAGAACTAGACTAAATGCCCTACACAACACTAACTTAAGAAGCCAGAAAGCAGGGGGGAAGTATAAAGAGCTAACATGATTCATGTCTGTGATTTTTTGGACACCCATGAGGGACGGTGCAGCAACATCCAGTGAAAAAGGTTCATTCACCAGCATCATTTTTTGTCCCTTGTAGGGGGGTGTTGGATACCTTGTCCCAGAGCTTTGCATTTTTGTGTTCTTTTCCTGAAACATCATAATAGCTGATAGCTAGCACTTATGAGAAAACCGTGCAAGGGAAAAGCAATAACCTGCACATAAACTGCAGCAAGCACTCTGTGTACTTTCAAGGGCACTGTAGGGATTCGGCTGTGGGCTGAGACGTGAGTGGGACACGAGTAAGCCCTGGAAGGAGGAGTTTGCACAGAGTCCACAAACTTTCCTAAGGAAAACCGAAAGAACCAAGGCTAACAGAGAAAAGGTATATGCTGCAGGAAACTTTCAGATGATTTACAAAAGAATTAACCAGAACACCATGTATGAGCTACACTATCAAGAGGAAGTTTCTCATTAAATAAACACTGCCTGCATGCTATGTTTCTTTCCAGGCACTGCTTCCTGCGCCGATCCTGGGCCTGTGGATTTGCAACGACCCCTTCGGACCAGTGAAATGGCACGGCTGGGACTGGGGCTGCCCGAGGAATTTCCTCCTCTCCTCCTCCAAGCTCTATCTTGACAGCTGAGAGCAGCCAGAGCATTCCTGCCAGCACACCCCAAACGTGCACATCTGGAGAGTGTAAGCTCTGCTTTCCTTGTGAAACATCCTCAGCTCAGGAATTTACTTCTCCCAGCGGCCTAGCAGAGCCGAGGTCTACTGACCTTTGGGGCACGATGTAAGGCCCATCTGTTTGCTCAGAGTGTGCCTGAGGGTCTGGCAGTGAGGCTTATGGTTAACTTGTCCCCTGGGAGTCTGCAAGAACAGTGGCCAGCACGCTATGTATCTGTTGGTTTTTTTTTTTAAACAATCTCTATGCATGCAGGCTGTCTGCAAGTTAACATTCACAGGGAAAATAAACAAAATAATTTTTCTTCACAGGTATTTTATAGTAAATAGATTTATTGAAAGGACCCCCTCAGATTCTTTACATGGGACTAAGAGTGTGAACTCTCCTCCGCTGCTCTTCTTTGGTCCCAGAAAGAAAGCACATCACAGCCACTGCCATAACAACAAACTGGGATAGCATGTTCAGGATTAAATCAGCACTGAATCATAAAACAGAAAGCCCTAATTAAAACTTAAAAAACTTCAGAGTAAGAAAGAAATGCATTTCTTCCCTCTTGTTTTTTTTTTTTGTTTTTTTTTTTTTTTTAGTTAGTTAGTTAGTCCTTCTCTTAAGCATACAGAGGAAAATACTGTAAGCCTGGAATCCAGCTGGGTTTCCTGTTGACTGAAATACCTGTAGACTAAATGGAGAGTGCAAACAGGTACTGATTAACTCCTGGAGGCTTTTGTCATGGATATACAATCAGGGAGGAATCAGAAGATGTAAAAAACCTGTTAGAAAGTCCCAAGTACCATAGATCCAACCTAAAAGCTCTTGCAGAGCCTCTGACTCCGCATAGTCACCTGTTTCCACTCAAAATCAGACATTCTTCCAAGTTCACCTCCATTCATCTATGCTCAGTGCAGCCTTTTGTTTCCTGTGCAGTATTATCAGGTCTGTCCTTACATTGTTTCTGCTTCCATTGCCTCTACACCTGCTGCAGCCTTTCAGTGCTCAAAGAACTCTAGAGCAAGAATCAAAAGCAAGATTTTCTCCTTACTTGCATAAGCTGTCCTACTAAAACAGGAATCTCATAAATAAAGAAATTAGGAATTGATCTCATGCTTATTTTCATGTTTGCAGAGCAGTGTGCACCCCTTTTTTTTTGTGAGTTAAAAATAGACCCATACCCATTACATGCTATACCATAGCATTGTTAAAAGCTTCCCAATTTCTAACAAATGGGACTCCTAAGAGAGTTGCCATTTAGATAAAATCATACCAAAAGGATTCACAACTTACTTTTTCTTTATATAAACTAATATCACATTGGAAATATTTCAGGACTGTGTCAAGCCCTGAATGTATATCAGTGTATTTACCTTTGAAAAAACAAGCACTTCATAATTGGACCACCCAACTCTGAATTATTGCTGTATTTTCAAGAGTTTGAAACTGACAAACAGAGTGGTACAACTGCTGCGAGTTAACCATGACCTGCAGGTTATATTTGCAATAATCATGAAGTTTCTCTGTACAGGAAGACACTTGGAAAATTAATGTTTTCATGACGATGAATTTTCATTGCTTAGCACAAGACTATATTCATGCTAAACGTTTTTAAAGCTGACTAAATATGGAAGGTTATCCAAAGTCTAATTTACATGAACTATACTAAGATTTGTATTGGTAGCAGGTTTATGGTGCACTTTGTGTGACCAGCAGTTAGAATGGTGGCAGACTGAACTTGTTTTGCTTTTCCTTCACACACTGTGCCATCAGGGAGATGTGTCACTCCTTTTTTATCTTTCAGAGATGAAGTCTTGTGTGGTTCACAGGCTGCATACCTAATATATCCTGAGCCTATGGGAACCTGCACCTATTAGGAACCAAGAAATCCCATGCCGCAGCTGAAAAGCACTGAGTTGCTCTATGTAAAATCTTGGCTTTAACTCAGCTCATTTCAGCACCTCACTTAAAGGAAGAAGCACAGCAAAGTTGTTCTCTGTGCTTCCCTGCCTACATAAAGGCAGCTTGGTGACTTTGTCCATGGAGAAGGCAAAAGTAAATCATAGAATCACAGAATCATAGAATGTCTTGGGTTGGAAGGGACTTCAAGGATCATGAATCTCCAAGCCCCCTGCTACAGGCAGGGCCACCAACCTCCATATCTAATACTAGACCAGGCTCTCTATGGCCCCATCCAACCTGGCCTTGAACACCTCCAGGGACAGGGCATCCACAACCTCTCTGGGCAGCCTGTGCAGCACCTCATCACAAGCAAAAGCAAAACCTGCAACTTGGCTAGCAGAGACAGCAGCTGGAGCTGAGCACTTCAGATCCCATCCCTAAGCAGTTGCCTTCCCATAGCTCTTACATATAGAGTACATATGCGTAATTGTTCTGTGATAGTGTAATTTGTATTTTTACCACTTGTAAAACTCCGTTTTCCAACAGTTCATTCAGTCATACAACATTCTTTCAGGCTTAAACAAAACACAGAAATCTTAATTCAGAAGCGAGTCACTGGTTTGTTCACATTTCAGCAACTGATATAAACAAGGACTTGTTTGGAACTTGTCCGGCAAGAAAGCATTTAAATAGCTGACTTGCATCAACCCCAAAGCCTGCAGATTGCTGCAGGTGCAAGCACACTGCACTCACGGGCTGCTGGAGCTCAGCCTGCAGCAACGATGGAAAAATCACAAGTCCTAAATTACCCTCTGCAGTACTGGCATATTTTCTGACTTATTGCCAAGAAAAAGGGGAACAGATAAATACTACCTCATGGCTTGGGGGCATCGTGATTCTGAATTTTCATCATGGCAGGTTACTGACTCGAATGTTCCCTAGCATGGTCTTTGTCATGCACAATATAATTTGGACTAGCATCAGTACCTAGCTTAATTTCAGATACAAACTGACCCTCATCACACTGTCAGAGCATATGAGCAATGTGACACCATGAACTGACCCAGGCAAATCCTGGGTGGGCTTTGACAGCATTCATAATACTTTGCACCTTTTTCTGCAGGCCCTCCCTGCATGCAAAGGCACTGCAGTGCAAGACCCTCAAGCTAAATTTGGCCATACTTATTGTTAAATTTCACTTAAGTATGTGGAGTCCCAGGTTGCTATATTGACATTCCTGTATTTGACTGAGATATTTTTTCTCCACTATTATTGTAAAAATTGCCATGGTGAACTTCAGGAGAAATTCTGTATGACAAGATATACTCATTCCAGAGATTTACAAAAGTCTGATTTCCTTATTCTTTACATGTCATCCATCACTGATATGAAAAGGCTTTTGAAAACAAAATGTACTTCAGATAGGCATAATTATACTATACTCTTGTGTTCTCTCATATGTAAATGAAGCTTAAATTCAATGTGCTACATTTTAACACCATGCACCACAAGAAGGGTTTCACAGCAGTTTAGTTTAAATTAAAACATGGAGTTTCTTAATTAATGGAATAGGAGAAAGACTAACAACATCAACACAGTGACCTCCTGCTGTTTCCTTTGATATCAAATTCAATTTATTTGATGATGCCTCCAAGTCATTGCACACTCTTGATTTTTGTATCAGCTGCACAGAGCTTTGTTATAGAAGCTGCAAGGCAAAGAGCAAGCTGAAGACTTCGGTGGGAGCATGGGAAAACTGGAGCTTTTGGTGCTCAGAGAAGCAGTGTGAGATAAACCCATTGCTAACATATTTCTGTGAAAGTCAGCAAATAGTTTCAGTGCTCCCTGTTTACTTATTCAGATGCTTTTCCATATGTATATGCGAAATATTTCTGAAGACAAACATTGCTCGATATTTTTCAAGCACAAACTTAAACTTAGGAAAGCTTAGCTATGAAAGCCTCCTTCCTGATCCTTGAAAGGTGAAGCACGTTCATTCTCTATGGTTAGAAGACCCCATGAATGCAGCAACACCCCTGAACATTAGCCAGTATCTGCAGCATTTGTCTGCAGGTACAGAAGTCACAATGTTATTAGATGATCCTGAACTCTGTTACGCTGAAGGAGCTGTGTCCTGAAGTGTAACAGGCACCCTTGCTGGACTGAGTGCATTATCTCACGTCTTCAAACTAAAAGAGGAGAGATTTAGATTGGATATAAGGAAGAAGTTTTTTACCATAAGGATGGTAAGGCAGTGGAACAGGTTGCCCAGAGAAGCGGTGGATGCCCCATCCTCAGAGACACTCGATGTCAGGCTGGACGGGGCTTTGAGCACCTGATGGAACTGTGGGTGTCCCTGTTCACTGCAGGGGAGTTTGTCCAGGTGGCCTTTAAGGGTTCCTTTCTAGCTCAAACAATTCCATGATTGTGTAATTCCATTACTGCAGAGGTGGCAGTGTGCAGAGAAGGGCCTCGTCGGTCTGAACTTGGGCTGGGATTTAAATACTGCAAAAAACATGGCTCATAAATCCTTCAAGAACAAACGTTAATACATTAACTCCTCAAAAAATATAATAAAACAAGTTGTTTTAAATTAATATCCCTGTAATATCTGAAACCCAAATATTAGAAATGCACATACTCGTCCAAAAAAACCACCCAAACCCCAAAGTGCTATTTTAAAGCATAGAAAAATACTGAGGAGACAATGAGCAATAACAACATAACGTTTTTAACATAAGTTATTAGTGCCAAGTCAGTGTTTCTCCCACAGTCTGGCTGAAATCAGCATTCAATCATTGGCTTCCAAATGTCTGCTGATGGTAAATGGAGCTGTCCTGCTTTTAACTTGACCAGAACAGAATTTACATGTTGCTCTTGTGCAGCAAACTGGTGAGTCTACCTGCTTCTTCGTTTACCACCACGATGCTGAGCAGAGCTGCAATTTCTTCATTCCTTTGCTCAAGGACTTCAGATCTCTTCAGAAAGACAAGTGAGAGTAATTAATATGGCTCGCACATGCAGGTGAGGCATAAGGAGAACTCAAGCACCCCTGGTGACAGCCCCATGCTTTGGGGAGAAATGCTTGGCAGGCTGCCACCAGCAGCTGCTCCAGGAGAGGCATCACAAGGTGAGGCAACCTTCAGGGTCACAATATTCCCCTTGCAGGGCCATGTTTTGCTTCTGTATTGCATTTTCCAGCCCTGTCTCTGCCACATCCTCTCCTGGAATAGCAGCAGAGCGTGGGAGCTCAGCCTCAGTGCTAAGCCCCATGAAGGAGGCACCTCTTGGCCCTGGGGTCAGGCACAGGGGCCTGTGAGGGGCTGAAGAATTCCCTCTGATAACACGCATTACTACAATATTTTCAAGTGATGCAGACAACCAAGGACAATACCACCAGGGTAATTCCAAATTTCTGTGTTTTCATGGATTTAAATCAATTTTTAATTATTTTCAGCAGCTTGTTATTACAGCTTTTGCAACCCAAAGGCAGACTGCTGCCTTTAATTCATTAGTAATTTCAGCAGTTAATCAGAAAAATGTCATTACCTAGAAGGACTACAGCTCAAAATAAAGCACGCTGGAGTTAAATTTAAATTAAAGCGTGGATAGAAATGAATGCAGCCTTTGATCCCCGTTCCATCCAGACTGCAACCTGATGGGCACAGCTGGACAGGAGAGAAGCAATGAGGAAAGTGCAGTCTCGCCTCTTTCAAAGGGCATTGACAACTCATTAAGCCCCCAAGCTGAGCAAATTAAAAAAAAAAAGTAGTCACTGTGTTGCTTCAGAGCTCTTCTAATGCCTTCTGCAATGGGCACTTCTTACCAGTTTTATTTTTAAGAGAGGCTGATTTTCAAGGTTTTGGCTGAAAAACATGTGCCGTTAACATCTGTTTAAACTTCACAGTGGCCAAACCTGCATTTCTGTTAGCTGAGTGGGAGCCGTGAGCCCAAAGGCATATACTTCTATCTATCCGTCTGCCTGTGTTCCTTCAGACAGACCCAGCACTCTGCTTGTGCCTGGTCCCACAGAATAAAGATAACCCTGGGTAGCACCTGCAGGGCAGCAGGCAACAAGGTGACAGTGCATTTAGCACAGTCAGTCCCTGACAACCCTCCCCATGCCACGAGGAACACTGGCAGTGCTTTGTGTCCCTTTCTGTGCGTCCTGAGGCCAGGACAGGGCAGCTCAGGAGCCAGGCCATAAACAGTGTAGTTCTGAACAGTATAAGCCGCTCTTGCTGTTCATCTAAGCCACTCGATGGTCTCCTGCTTCTCATGCCCTCCTTACCTTGTGAATCCTCCTGCCGAAGACACCCTGCTGCTGTTTCAACAGGGTTGTGCTTTTCCTCTGTGCTCAGGTGCAGCCAGAGGGTTCTGATCAATGGCTCCATGTCCAGATGGAGGCTGGTCTTAAGTGGTGCCTCAAAGCAGTCAGTCTTGGGCCCAGTGTTCTTCACTATCTTTATCAACAACAAAGGCAGTACAATTGAGTTCACCCTCAGCAAGTTTGCTGATGACACCAAGCTGAGTACTGCAGTTGATACAATAGAAGAGAGGGATGCCATCCAGAGGTACCTGGACAGGTAGGAGTAGGAGTAGGCACAAGAGAACCTAATGAAATACAACAAGGCCAAATGCAAAATGCTGCACTTAGATTGGAGCAACACAGATATGTGTACAGACTGGGAAAAGAAAGAACTTACTGAGAGACATAAAGACTCAGGCTCTGTGATGAACAAAAAGCTGGACATAAGCCAGCAGTGTCTGCCTGCTGCTTCAAAGGCCAACAGTAGTCTGGCCTGCATCTGAAGAAGGGTGAGCAGGGAGAGGAAGGGAATTGTGTCCCCCTGCTCTGCCCTTGTGAGGCCCTATCTGGAGTGCTGTGTCCAGGCCTGGGGCCCCCAGCTCAGGAAAGATGTTGGAGCAGGGTTCAGAGGAGGGCATGAAGATGTTCAGAGGGCTGGAGCATCTCTCCTGTGGAGACAGGCTGAGAGAGCTGGGCTTTTTCAGATTGGAGAAGAGAAGGCTCCTGGGAAACATCACTGCAGCCTTATAGTACTTAAAGAGAGCTTCTAAACAGGAGGAAGATGGACTTTTTACATAGCGACAGGACAAGGGCAAATGGTTTTAAACTAGAAGAGGAATAATGTAGATGTGATATAAGGGGGATATTCTTTCCTCAGAGAGCAGTGAGGCGGTGGCACAGCTGCCCAGAGAAGCTGTGGTGCCCCATCCCTGGAGGCTCTCAAGGCCAGGTTGGATGGGGCCCTGGGCAGCCTGAGCTGGTGGGGGCAGCCCTGCCCACGGCAGGGGTTAGGGCCGGGTGGGCTTTGAGGTCCCTTCGAGCCCAAACCATTCTGTGATTCTGTGGTTTCCAGCACCTTCTGGGGTGGCCATTGTTCCCATTGCCTTGTTTCAGTTGACTACACAGGGAATACACTCAGGAATTCTTGAACTGTCTGTTCAAAACATATAATAGATTCCTTACTATATAGCAAATATATTTGCAAAGCCTCTTAACATAGTTATATCTTTAAATAATGATATAATAATCATTCCTCAACTGGAAAGCTGTGTGGCTGTGCGCTGCTCCCAGTGGCGGTGTGTAGCTGGCTACCGGCTTCCCACAGTGGAACCACACTGCTGCAGCCACAGGGAATACACATTGGAGGCTTCTGTACAAGGAAGGATGGCAGAAGCACCACAGAGGCAGTGGGTCTGCTGCCCTCATTCTGCTTCCCTACTGCCTAAGGGCTGAGATCCTGTTCAGATTGGGAAGGCTGGATGAACAGGAGAGCCTTCAAACTGTAATTCACTGCTGTTGGGAAGGTAAAATTGTCGTGTTTCTCAGCTCTGCCTTAAATGAGGAAGTTTTACCAGCACCGCGATGTCAGTGAAAGCTGGTGTGAAAGCAGCGCACGGCTCATCAGCACCTGTGCCAGCCGCAATCCTATTAGCGGTGCAGCGGAAGGGACTGGAGAGCTGCAGCTCCGCATTAAGAGCGGCGCTGAGGCAGAAGCGTGGTGTAAAATTGCTTTGACATTTTTTAACGAGGAAGAGAAGAGCTTAAGAACAGGAGGCATAGCGTGCACCAGCAGCCCTCTAGCGGGAAAGCAGCAAAGCTTTGGTTTCGGTCAGCACAGCTGCGTGTGTTCCGGAGGCTCTACTAATGGGGCTCACGCAGGCTCAAGGAGAAAAGGGGTCCTTGGTTACTTTCTTATACCACTGAATCGTAGAATCGTTAAGGTCGGAAAAGACCTCTAACCGCCAACCCGACTCCACCATGCCCGCTAGCTATGTCAATAGTAGCATAAAAACTCTGTGAGACGTGGGTTATTCCAATGAATTAGCGGCTTTATCAGAGCACCCTGACTAGCGGCGAGCCCCAGCCGGGAGGCTCCTTTCAGCATGCATCGCCGTCCGGCTCGCCTGGGGCTGCGGACACCCCACTGCAGCGCCCGGCGGGGTCAGCACGCCTGCTGGATTCAATTACCGCGGGCTCGAGCCGAGCCCTGGCCCCCGCCCCCGCCCCCTCCTCCTCCTCCCGCTCGCAGCGCGGCGCTCCCGGCGGCAGCGTGAGGAGAAGCGGGGTGGAGAGGAGGCGGCGCCGGCTCCGACGAGGGGCGGCAGCCCGGGCCCCCCGCCGCCAGCACCGCTCCGCCCCTCGCCGCCGGCGCTCTCCGCCGAGCAACTTTCCGCCCTGCGGCCGCTCGCCCCGTTCGAGCGGGGCGAGGCGCGGGGAAGGAGCGGCGCCGGGGTCGGGCATGCCGGCGGCGGCGGGCGACGGGCTCCTGAGCGAGCCGCCGGGGGTGGCGGGCAGCGGCGGCGAGGCGCGGCGGGCGGCGGCGGGCGCCGAGGGGAGCTTCCTGGCCGCCTGGCTGAGCGCGGCGGCGGCGGCCCCGCGGGAGAGGCTCCGCGATTTCCAGCACACCAAGCGCGTCGGCAACTACCTGATCGGCAGGAAGCTGGGAGAGGGCTCCTTCGCCAAGGTCCGCGAGGGGCTGCATGTGCTCACCGGAGAGAAGGTATCGGGACGGGAAGGACCGGCCGGGGCGGGAGGGCGGCCGCTCGGTGGCGCCCCGGGGGTTGTGGGAGTCCCGGCGGTACAGGGAGCGGTCCCGGGCTGGGGCTGCGCGACCTGCGCCTTGCGGGGGTACTCGCCTGTGTCCCCCTTTGCGAGGTTTGTGCTTGTGAGAAAGCGCTGTTTGAAACAGCACGATACACAGTGTCCTACCGCCGACCAGCGACGTGTGAGCGGTGTGTTTTTGGTGGCACGGCACATAGACTTCTACCACTGATCGGTGACAGAGTGCAGACACTCATCGCTCATTGAAATGACAGGAGGTGCTGCGTGTGTCTTTGGCGGTGTTACCGTTCGGTGAGCAGAAGTTGCTGATAGTGCTGCACATCACAAGGTGCCCTCACGTGTGTTGTGTTGTTTCGTCTAGTAAAGAAAATGCACCGAGGAGCTCTGCTTCTCGTCTCCTATCTGCAGTCCTGTAGTGGAGTGTTCCACCCATCAGTCAGGCTCTGTCACGACGAGATGAAGAGCAGCGGGCGCTTGGCTGTGCATTGAGCACGGCATGGCATGCTGGAGAGCCCTGCTGCAGGGCTGTCCCGCTCGCGTTGAAGCTGGCGGGCAGAGCGCTGTTTAACACTGGGCACCCCGCTGCTGCCGAGTGAGCTGAGAACAGCAGAATCTCCTCTGGCTCCAGCAGCGCTGCACGTACGCTATTGTTAGGGTTGCATCTCTGTAGGGTCCATGCAGTTCTAGGCTTGTTTCTTTTTTTTTTTTTTTTTTCCTTCTTCCAATAAGTTTGTCACAGAGTGAAATTTTGAGTAGAGCTCTGAATTTCCTCATGACAGAAATGATTGCTATCATATCGGAATGCAAAAAAGATTTTTTTTGTTGTTCTTCTGTTACCAAGCGTGTGCTTCTCCTTGGTAACAGATACATCCAATGATCCTTCTGTTGATAAAAGGCACATGCACACACACGTCCTTCCCACCTCCACTTTTTGGGTTGCTACATTTATCTCTGTCTGTGAAGAGGCAAAAATAAAAAGCCCAGCCACACGCCCCTCTATCTCAGCTGCCAGGGCTCTTGCTTTATTTATTTATTTTTTTTCCCCCAGTGTCTTGAATAAGACATGTTATGACAAAGTGACAAGCAGAAGCTCTAGGAGAATCTAGAGGAATGGGCTGCCCAGAGAGGTGGAGTGGTCACTGTCCCTGGAGGTGTTCAAGAGCCATGTGGATGTGGCACTGAGGGATGTGGACAGTTGGTGGGGATGGGTGACAGTTGGACTGGGTGATCTTTGAGGTCTTTTCCAATCTTAATGATTCTGTGATCTCCCTTCCTTCCTGCTGAGCCTTGGTGTCCCTATTTGTGGCCATCTGTGGCAGTCTCTGAGTGCTGTCTGACCTTATCTTCTGTCATAGGATCAAATCAGGCTCTTGCTGTTGACTTCAGTGGGTGAAAGATCAGTTGCATAGTTTTAAACTCACTAATTAAGGGTCCATCCTACCAGAATATCCACCTATTTCGTTTCAGGTATTTATGGATAAGCAATCTGAGTTAGTGGATGGAGATAAGGGCGCTTAATGACTTTCTTCAGGTGAGGTCCTATCTCAGTGCGGTTCCTCTCTCTGACTGGAGGGGGAATGCTTTCCATCCCACACATGGTCTCACCTGAGGATCTCGCCCCATCCAGGGAGCTGGTGGACATTCAGCTCTTCAGGGCATGTTCCTCAGCCATGCTCTTGTGTGGCCTCCAGCCAGAGGAGGCTGAGGCGTGCTCAAACTGGATCTGCCTCACAGCTGCTGGTAGCTCTGCCTACACTGAACCCACCACAGGCGACTGAGCTCTGGCTGTAACATGAGGAAGAGAAGGAAAACATCTGCTTCCTTGGACTCCTTTCCCTGGGAGTGTGTTCGGGAGGAGGCTGAGGCTGGCAAGTGTGGAAACTGAATGAGGAGAGAAGGAAAGAGGCAGCATGCGTGCCAGGATTGGCAACACTGAGGGACAGAAGGAGGTTCTGTGGGAAGAGGACATTTTTATAGAATCATTTGAATTGGTAAGGACCCTTAAAGTCCATCTGGCCCAACACCTGCAATGAGCAGGGACACCCACAGCTCCATCAGGTGCTCAGAGTCCCATCCAGCCTGGCATTGAGTGTCTCCACAGGTGGGGGGCATCCACCACCTCTCTGGGCAACCTGTTCCACTGCCTCGCCACCCTTACTGTAAAAAAACTTCTTCCTTATATCCAATCTAAATCTCCTCTTTTTTAGTTTGAACATGTTCTTCCATGAGAAATGTTATTGCCGTGGCAAAGTCCTTCCACAAGAGCAAGCCAAGTGCTGGAGAATTAGGAACCATTTGGTACTCCATTGTCAGAGCCCAGGTGAGCAGTGTTGGGCACAGACTTCCCAAGAACAGCTAACAGAGTCAGGTTGATGCTAACAGAGTTACCCAAGGCATGAGTAAGCAGCTGTGTGTGACAGCCACGCTTGGCCATCTCTCCGTGCCCACCTCCATCCCTCAACCCCAGGAGTGACATCGCACTCATCTGGAGTTTGAGGAGAGTGTTGCCCTGTAATGGAATGGCATTGGCCTGCATTCAGCAGGGCGAGGGGCAAAGACTGGCCGGGCTTAATCTTTGGGTATGTTAATTTGCGGGGAAAGTTAATCTGCAGGAGTGTGCACTTAAAGTGTTTGCAAGTGGGGCACAGTGAAGCAAGATGAGGAAACAAAGCCCTCTCCTGCAGACGGCTCACTGGATTGCTGTAGTCACTGCAGTTTTCTAGGCTGATGCTTTATGAGCCTATTATTCCAGGATTAGCGCCTGCATGTACTTTGAGATAAAAAATAATTGACATCTGATTTCTGTCTTGTAAAGCCGTTGTCGAGCAAGGGCGCTGCCTAAGTTTCAATAAAATTGCAGTAGTAGTGTGAAGTAGGGGTCTTACTGCTAATGCCTGGTAGCTGTTTTGGCACAGTCCAAGCTGTTACGGTCACCAGAATATCTGATTTCAGCGAGGGTGCCCAAGCAGGTTTTGATTTGCAGCAGACTTTAGTGACTGTGGAGGAGTTAATGCGCATTATTGTTTCAGAAAATTGTGTATTTAGAAATGAAATCTGTGGATTAATGAGTCCCCAGCCAGGCTCAGATCCATTGCACTGACACAATGCATTGTACAGAATCAAGGCAATTGCAGAGCGAATGCCAAAAATCTGCCATTACCTCACCCTGAAACGGCTAGAAGCTGAAGAGGTCTTCAAGAGAGCACAAGATGCTGTGTGCTGTGGGCCAGGCGCTAGTTGCTTTACCAGCTGCTCCAAGGGCAGCTGGATGGGCTGTGCACATTGATTGCAGTGCGTGGGACTGGAACCAACAGCTCCTGAGCACGAGAGGGTGAGCTAAGGTGAGGCTTTAAACCTTCACTATGAATGTCTGTAGCACTGGATTTGAAATCAAATCTTTTGCAGCACTTCTCGGGGTTTGTATTACCAGCATGTCAGGCATGTTATTATTGTCTGGGCTGGAGAAATGTTTGGTAATGCCTGATGCAATTAAGCGTATTTTAGCTGAGCACAGGAGAATGTTGAACAGATTATTCTTTCCATTGCTTTTGAATAAAAATATCACAGCCTATAATCTAACATTTTTGGGTAGAAGGCTGATTTGTTAGATCAGCGCAGGCAGTCTTTATTGCCAGTCCTAAGGAAACAGTTTCTCTCTGAAGAGCGAGCCAATTTAGATTAAAATTGTGGCTATGAAACCCTGCTGGGATAGCTGCATTGTTATCCTGCTAACTTGTGGAGCCTCTGCCCAGGATACTCCCAGTTTGTTCCAACCCTTGCGCTTGAGGCTCAGCATGGCCTGTCACCGGGCAGCAGAAAGCAGCCATTGCAAGATAATGTTTTCTGTAGTTCTAAACAGCTGAAATTACATTCCTGTCAGTGCAGCAGGGGTATGCTTTGTTGGTAGACTGACCGGATCGTGCCATCTGCTGTGGACCCCGATGAAATGACTCCATAACCCTCAATGACTCCGTGTGGCATTGCAGGGTGGCCCTATATTGAGGGGAGAGAATGGTGTGAGCTGAAGTCTTCATAAGCAAACTTGACCTGAGATTGCTTTTACCTTACTTTGAAGTATAATCTTTGTCTCTACAAAGAGAGAGATGGAGGTAAATTGAGTCATTTGATTTCTCATCTGCTGAAAAGTGTGTTTATCAGTTTCTCTAGTGCTATTGTTACACTCCAAAAGGGCCATTTTTAGTTACAGTTAGTTGAGTAGTTTTCTGTAACAATGTTAGTGGGAAGCAGCTGCTAAAAATACAGTTTACCAGCTTTTATGAAGGTAAAGCAATTAATATTGAAAGTGGCCTTTTCACAAAAGGGTTTGCTTTCTGAATGCATTTCTGTATTAAAAATACTTTAAAAAAGAAAGAAAGAAAGAAAAAGAAATTAAAAAGCTGTATTAGAGACTCGTGGAAGTGCTACGTGGGCAATGCAAGCGCCCTGCAGAGAGCTAGCAGCACCCATTGCAAACCCCAGGGAGGGAACAGGGGAGGTGATCTGAAAGCACACCTGGGCAGCGGTCTCACAGGCTCTCTGTCCCCTGCTGGTGGCACGTTGGTGGCATGTAGTTTTGTGAAATGCATTCAGAGCATCGCTGGCACGTTTCTGTTTGAACATCATGCGTTCATCAGTGGGTGCGAGGCTTGGAGAAGCTGCACCTTTGTTTTGGGAGCTCTAGATACCTCCAGGGAGGCAAAATGAGATGCACTGGTAGTCTGGCAGGTTGTGTGACTGCCCTGCATCAGCCAGCATGGTTGTCTTCTGAAATCCGGCCTGTGGCTGAGAAAACTGTTAGACAGCTTTTACCTTGGTCTCAACATCTCATTTCTAATCTCCTGCTCGTGTCAAAGGGTGGTTGTTGAGTTGCTTCTGGATGTACCACTGGAAGCAAAGGCTGGAGCGATGTGTTTTGCACCATTTCCATCTTCCAGCAGCTTTTCCTA